CCCCAAAACCCCAAAACCCCAAAACCCCAAAACCCCAGGATATATTGGGCCAATAGAAAGTTTATAAAGAAATTAAAAATGGAGTGAAGGAAGATAAAGTTCGAAAGTTCATTCAATATATGGACAATAGTTGCCCCTTATTATGGATACATGGATGACTGGTATCTGCTAACCACAAGGCTATGTAAGAAGTCACGAGAGCTGATGCTTTCTCAAGATAGGCAGTTCTTTATAGGCACAAATGGACACAAATAAATCAATTAATCTGATAGATGTCTATTCTCGCATCAAGAAATTCCAGAACCCATGGGTGGAGTTCCCTCTATTCCTGTTTAAGATAAAGTTGTTGGATTACTCGAAGAAATACTACTTCTCAAAGATAGACGACTGCATCATTGAGCAGCTTAAGCTGTCAATTGACTTTTTTAAGAATCTCCAGAACGTCCTTGTAGTAGTGAAGGAAGGTATAGACAAATGTATGGACCCAGAGAAGATACAGAGATTCAAAAGGTTTATGATCCAAAATGGGAATATTGCTTGGGATTATCAGCACCTTACTGAGCACAAGGACAAGTTCTTCAGCATTGTAAAAAATTGTAATGTCAACAAAGAGATCTATGAGTACCTTCTTGTGTCAATTAATCTCTCAGAGCCAATCTTTGATTCAATGGAGGAAGGAGAAATTGTAAGAAATTCTGAACTAATTTTAGGAAGCATATCTCTGGTCTATCACTGGAGGAATCTATTTCAGAGGAAAATCACCAGAAAGCTTGGAAAATGAGAAAGAGCATATTGCAAAGACAGTTCCATTTGTCAATATTACCCTATCAAATACCAATTTTGAGTACCAGGAGGAGTAAGCAAAGATACAGCTTTAGATTTTAAATTCTTAACTTTTCCCTTCTAAGCTACTTTTTGAGATTTCTCTTCTAACATTCTCAAGATTTCCCTCATCAGGACTCCTTTATTTCTTAGAAATCTGAAGTTGCTCACCTTATATAGTCTGTCAGATTTCCTTAAGACTGATACAAGCTTCGTCAATATCAGGAAGTTGCATATGATCATCACAGACCAGAGCTTTAATGACTTGAAGATAGGTAAGTTAATTTTGCCCAACTCTGTTGGAGAAAGTTCTGACATTTATCTGATTTAGCTCAAGAGTCAGTCTATTGCAAAGGTATGCTCACAGTGTCAACTTCTAGATACACTCGAGATGTTTACTGTATTCTCAAACGTCTCGGTGATCAGTAGCCCAAAGAAAATGGCTCTGAGGATCTCCTTCCCAGCCATAATTATTCAGAGTAAGATATTTTAAAAATTTGACACTTAGATGCCCTTATGAGCACCCTGGATCTCTGTCTTTTCCAGTTGGTCAAGGATGCCAAGATGCTTAGCTTTTCAGCTGAAGACCAGATAGGTATCAGTATGGACCTGACAAGTGAGTCTCTGCTTCATGACTTATAGTTATTGAAATAACAAATGCTAAATTTTTTATTTGAGACAGAAGATTAGACCACTTGCTGATTTTCGAAGCTGATGTTTTGAAAATTACCAGCGATGATAATATTACTGAGTAAGACAGACCTCTGTCCAATTTTTTACTATTCCTGATAAATCCTGATCTAACATGCTTTTAGGGAAGACTATAAACAGAATTTGGATGAGCTGCCTCTATCATTTTGTAAAGCAGTCTACTGTGAAAGTAAGCAATTTCGAGTTTATCTCATCCTGATTGGCTAAATTTAAACTTTGGTATAGATATAAAGGTAAGATGCATGGCCTGAATAAGCCCACACGCAAAATGTTAACCAGACCCTAATCCTTATATAGCTAGTGAATTATGGAAGAGTGAAGGAGGAAGACCATAAGGTCTCTTCTGGCTATCTTCTCTGAGCCTCTGGAAAGGCAAATTTTAAGAAACAAAGATGTATTAATGCTAATAAGGTCTCTTCATTAGAGTCCCAGTACCAGAAGACATTCTCTAAGAGTAATTCAAAGATGAAGATTAACGTATATCCTGAAAATTGGGAGAAAGAGTATGCAGAGAGAGGGAACTACCCATTTTTACAGAAGTTCTCTCTAAAATAATATCTTTGTACAAGTTCAACTCAAATTAAGTTTTGGGGTTTTGGGGTTTTGGGGTTTTGGGGTTTTGGGG